TTTTCGTGACATAATTGTACAAATCAGTTCAAATTGGTCTAATGTCATAGGGTAAATAAGGAAATGGAGGAATATGGTGGCGGAATTGATGGTGTTTGGTGCTCCATTGAATATTATTATTGTTGACTTCATGTATCTAGACGGTGGTGAATATATAGAGAAAGTATATATACATAATATATATGTTAGTATGTGTGTGTGTGTGTGTGTGTTTGATAGAAAAATGTTATAATATTTATTTAGTTCATTAACTTTTTGTTCTATTTCTATTGGAATGTTATATAACTTACATTAGACAATTTTTCTTTATACCAATGTTGGAAGAAATTGTCTATTTTCCATTCTTGATTAAGGCACATATGCATTTTTCATTTGATTTATGTATAGTAAAGAATTTACTTCCAGTAAAGGATCTATATGAATCTCCATTGTTAACAAAATTTATCAGCATCCAGTATTTTTGATTATTTATGTTATAATGTTAAATTTAAGACACATCTGTGATGGAAATTGTTGTGCCATTGGGATGTAGTGTTGTTTTCAATATTAATGTGATTTTATTTTGCTCCTTAATGTCAGAACAGAATTGTTTTTATTGTATCATGACTTAAATTTAAAGTACATAAATTGGGTGTAAGTAGGTTTTGCCCTTCCTTTCAACTTCCTTAAAATAATTTCAACGATTTAAACGAAAGTTTAATCAGGTATTCATTTTTGTTATAAATATTAGAATCAAACTATATGAGCTACAAAACGTAGGAATACCTATGTTGACATTTAGACTATCAGATTAACATTTTTGTAACGGAAAATCGACAATATTGTTGTTTTTTCGAATACAATTAACTTGTGTTAAAAAACCCAATGGTGCAATTGCGTAAAATGGTTTCTTTTGTTATTTATCTTCTATAGATGTCTTTGAATAAAATATAAATTTCTAATTCTGAGTTTTATTTCATATTATAATAATATTTTTCATTGCATTAAACAAATTTAACGATTTTCTCGCGTTTAAATTTATTTCATCTAGACATCAAACACTTCAGTACCCGCCGTAGTCATGGATGTTGTAAAGTATTCAATAACATAGAAGTTCAAAAATAATCTATACAAATAAATAAAATTGAAGTGTCTGTTTGTAACGTTAAAATAACAGCGTTTTACTAAATGAATATGAAAGTATATACGATACTCATAACAAATACACAATTTTTTAAATTTTTGTCCGTCTGTCTGTTTGTTCCGGCTAATCTCCGAAACGGCTGGACCGATTTTGACGGGACTCACTGGCAGATAGCTGATGTTATAAGGAGTAACTTAAGCAACTTATATTTTAGAAAAAGAATGAGGGTTCCGCGCAACATAATTAAAACCCTAAATTACACGCGGGCGAAGTCGCGAGGAACAGCTAGTTTAAAACTAAAACTTAATACCTAAAATCCGTAAAACTAATGTAGTAGTTGAAATCTACTATATTACCATCTATTCTACATTGGTGTCTTTTGTACAAACTAAATTGTACTACCACAAGCTCGTACAAATCGTAAAAAATGTATAAACGAAGATATCGCGTAATATACATAAAAACTCTCTAATTGAGAAGCTCCTACTTTTTGAAGTCGGTTAAAAAGTGGTGCCTCGAATCATCATCATCAGTGCAGTCACCACAAGTCCACTGCTAAACGTTGGCCTAACTCACAGTTTACCACAAAATACCGTGAGACACCTGTATCAATTGACTGGTAGTCAACAAGTCGTCACTCCCATCTGTGGGGCGCCGCCGTACATTTCGCTTAGCGGTACGAGACTACCACGAGTGAACCTTTCTTTTTTAAAATATATTTCTTCGACCTATATGACTGATACAAAAAGTTGTTTAATAATTATGCTAACATCCCACTATATTTTACCGTTTCTGGGTGTACAAATTTATGAACCTGGTACGACCCAGATGAAAATACCTTGACCGACAAAAAGGTGCAGCGTCAAGGTGTGAAGCACCAAGCGTGTTGATCATGGCAAATTCTTCCTACACAGTGGGGTAAGAAAAAAAAAATAACGAGAGAAGAGAAGGTATGGACGATAAGATATGTAGGTGCTTTATTGGTTTTGTGTTATGAATATAAGTTATCTTCCATTCTTAGAACTAATGATAAAATATTCACGATGATATCAGAATTTAACTAAATAAAAAACAATAACGATTTTAAGAAATGAGGAAATCCTAATCATGGTGTATGTACTAAAAAGTACTTAATTTATTTTCCATTGGAAAAGGAATTTATTTTAAATTTATTTAGTTTCTATCCAAGCGTAATTTTCTGGGATAGATTTTGTCATACGAGCAATTTGGCTGCAGCGCAACTCCAGCGCGTGTCGGGGGACGTGTGCGTCACATGTCCTTGCATTATTTTATCCCTTAGACTTGTGGGTTCTCTTATTATAATAACGATGTTTTTTTTTCACCGCCGAGCACGTGTTAAATCGGCACTTAAAATTGCTAATTAACAATTAAATCGGTGCCGGCAGGGATCAAACCTGGGTTGCTCGCGTATAGTAAATTTACGTGCGAGCTACTGCTGCTCAAGTTCAAGTCAAAATAATTAAAATACTGAAATTTATATAAAAAAAATAATGTGCATACGTTACTTTTTATTAGTAAGTCATAAGTCAATGGAAGGACAAATTTAACTTTGCAGTAGAAATAATGTTCTCCCCCATACATGCTCCAACTGCAAGTGTAATTTTTCTCCCTTTACTAGTGCTGTATGATAAAATCTCCTAAAATCTTCGAAATATGTTTTTAATTACTCAAACATGCAGGTATCACGATGCTGTCTTTTATTGCCGAGAGCGCAATAAATCAGCATTTAAAATTGCAATTAACATTGTTGCTGGCGGGGATCGAATCCGGGTTGCTTGTATACGGTGAAATTTTCAAGGAGCGAATATACCATTTGATATCTCATTGATAGACAATTTAATAACTCCGTTCCAGAGAAAAGGGGTTGAAAAAAAAAACAAATGGACAGAATAACAACAGAGTAATCCAGATATTTCCAACAGAGATATTTCCTTTAAGAGGTCGAAACCCCAAAAAAGGTTGTGAACCCCAAAAACCTCTATTGTGATATTTGGCGATTTCTTTGTACTGTTTATCGCTAAATCAATCTATTATTTGATACTGATAACAATTGTACCGTCAAAGTGATGTCACCGACCACTTGTATCGCCATCTCGAAATTATCATGTGCAGGTTATCTGGTACATTATCTTGATGCGACAACACTATCAAGCACTTTATTAATGGGTATTTCAGCTCCATAGATAAATATATATGTAGCAAGTTCAGCTCTTTGTACACGAGGCAGTTGGTTTGTATTCTGAATGAAGTCAAAATATTTTCTTTTTCTACAGACTTGAAAAGTGGATGTACTCAGTTCGACTGTATGTTTTTTTGTGTGTTACCTTATAACTTTTTCTGGGTGAATTTCGATGATTATTTTTTTATTTGAAAGCTGGTGCTTCTCATGTGGTCCCATATAAATTTGATCAAGGTCTGACCAGTAATAGTTTTTGAGTTATTCTTAATAATTTATATTGAAGTGAATGTTTCTTAGTAATGTTATAAAATATGTAATAGCAATGGATTTAATTTTAATTTGGCAAAAAGGCATTTATTCTCAATGCTAGGCAAGGAGCCCTTCAGTTTCCTACACCTTTCTTGATTGGTGGAATCTACGCGAGCATTTCTAAAAGGTAGTATTAGTTGCCGCGAAACCATTTGTCATATCTCCTTAATTTCAAAGCGGAGTTCCTTGTTGCCTCAGCCAGCGTCGAAATACTCGGCGTTGACATGTCAAATGACGTACAGTTCCTCGGTCACCTGGAAGACCATATTGGCCTCTAAAAAGCTTGGTGTACCTACTTAATGGAGTGAGACAGTATGTCATGAAGGCACAGCGCTTGCAACTATATAAGGCGCAAGTTCGGCATATTCGGAATATTCTTCATTTCTGGGCCACGTTTCCCTAGTGCTAGCTACTTCCACTTGACCATATCCAGCGCAGAGCGAATCGCCGACGACCTAATTATTTCTGATTGGTTTGACTCACTGACGCTGTGAAGAGATGTTACGTCCCTTTGCATATTCTATCGCATCTACCACGGGGAGTGTTCAGAGAAATTGTATTCCAGCCCATAAATTTGACCACTGCACATCGCAAGAAAACTCGCAATACCATCCATCCATCTGGAAGACTGGCAGTCGACAGCTGTGCAATTTATTACAAACTTCTAGGGCCTGTATAAATATATAGTAGGTAGATAACGAAAAAAAAATGCAATAAACATATTATACTGAGTATGTTTCAATAGATAGATGAGAATATTTAACAAGTTGATGGATGTAGATGAATCTGTGTTTTACGGCATTCCTTAGCAATGGAAATGTGAAGTAATGATATTTTTGCAGCTTTGAGCCTTTATTAGCAGACTCACGCATCGTATTTAAAATATATAGTTCGTATTATGGGCTGCAGTAATTACTTACCTATAGATATATTTTTTTAAATATCGCCATTTCAGCCTCTTAAATGGTAAAATAATATTTTATACATAATATGTATACATTAGGGTTGGCAACCGCAACCCTAATTCTAGTTACGCGACCGTGTGTGCGGTTTAAGCCCATGGCAAGTCCAGCAAATACTTTTCCTACTCTATTGTTCGTTTCGCTAATTTTGGCGGTTAAAAGGGCTCCCGTATGCGCAAGACCTAATTCAAATTGAAATATTGCTATCGTATCAAACAAATAAGTTAAGCCGCCGATAACGATCTTTCTTATTGACGATAGCTTTCATTATTATCTATATAATTACTGTGATTTTGTTTTAATGCTACTGAATATCAATCAATCGTAAAGATATGATAAAAATTTTAAAATTTCCCCTTACATTTACAAACGTATATATTTTTTAAAGAAATCAGTAAGGGTAAAGATGTGGTGGAAAACGGGTATTGTCCTTATCACTATAGTCTCTAGTTGGGTGAGATTCCTTTTTGTTTAATTTTTTTTAGTAAATATTTTGATTCGATACAAATAACTATATTTTATACGGCTATCCGCAGCTATATTATCACTTTCACTGTCCGGTTTTCAGACACAATATAATAAGACAATACCAATGAATAGGTCTGTGAATGTAGTGCACGGGACAGCGAAAGGGTTAAAATTGGACTTAGGAAATTTGTGCGACATTTGTACCTAGTCTAGTTAGTAGCACAGAATAAATAATTAGTAGTAAGATTATAATATTATGTAGTTTCTCATTTATAAAAATTCCTTTCATTAACCGAGTTCAAAAAGGAGGAAGACAATTATTTACAATTGTTTTAAATTCGACTGTATATTGTTTTTAAATGTGTGTTATATTATATTCTTAAAGGTTAATATCTATGTAATTAATCTGTTTAAAGTTAGAGCCTATATACAGAGTTATTTAGCAATAACCGGACAAATTTGCAGTTCAGAATAAGTAATATAGGCAAATGGTGAAGAAAAGTTAATTAAAAACAATCTCAAACATTCTGTCTTTTTTATTTTTTTTTAATTCAAAATGCGCACGCACACATTCGTAAAGGTATATTTTAGAAAAAGAGTGAGGTTTCCGCGCAACATAATTAAAACCCTAAATTACACGCGGGCGAAGTCGCGAGGAACAGCTAGTTTAAAACTAAAACTTAATACCTAAAATCCGTAAAACTAATGTAGTAGTTGAAATCTACTATATTACCATCTATTCTACATTGGTGTCTTTTGTACAAACTAAATTGTACTACCACAAGCTCGTACAAATCGTAAAAAATGTATAAAGGAAGATATCGCGTAATATACATAAAAACTCTCTAATTGAGAAGCTCCTACTTTTTGAAGTCGGTTAAAAAGTGGTGCCTCGAATCATCATCATCAGTGCAGTCACCACAAGTCCACTGCTAAACGTTGGCCTAACTCACAGTTTACCACAAAATACCGTGAGACACCTGTATCAATTGACTGGTAGTCAACAAGTCGTCACTCCCATCTGTGGGGCGCCGCCGTACATTCCGCTTAGCGGTACGAGACTACCACGAGTGAACCTTTCTTTTTTAAAATATATTTCTTCGACCTATATGACTGATACAAAAAGTTGTTTAATAATTATGCTAACATCCCATTATATTTTACCGTTTCTGGGTGTACAAATTTATGAACCTGGTACGACCCAGATGAAAATACCTTGACCGACAAAAAGGTGCAGCGTCAATGTGTGAAGCACCAAGCGTGTTGATTATGGCAAATTCTTCCTACACTGAGTCCCATGGCCAGTTTGGATAAGAAAAAAAATAACGAGAGAAGAGAAGGTATGGACGATAAGATATGTAGGTGCTTTAATGGTTTTGTGTTATGAATATAAGTTATCTTCCATTCTTAGAACTAATGATAAAATATTCACGATGATATCAGAATTTAACTAAATAAAAAACCAATAACGATTTTATGAGGAAATCCTAATCATGGTGTATGTACTAAAAAGTACTTAATTTATTTTCCATTGGAAAAGGAATTTATTTTCCATTGGAAAAGGAATTTATTTTAAATTTATTTAGTTTCTATCCAAGCGTAATTTTCTGGGATAGATTTTGTCATACGAGCAATTTGGCTGCAGCGCAACTCCAGCGCGTGTCGGGGGACGTGTGCGTTCACATGTCCTTGAATTTTTTTTTCCCTTAGACTTGTGTGTTTCCTTATTATAATAACGATGTTTTTTTTTTTTGACAAATTTAACTTTGCAGTAGAAATAATGTTCTCCCCCATACATGCTCCAACTGCAAATGTAATTTTTCTCCCTTTACTAGTGCTGTATGACCTTGCTTGATAAAATCTCCTAAAATCTTCGAAATATGTTTTTAATTACTCAAACATGCAAGTATCACGATGTTGTCTTTTATTGCCGAGAGCGCAATAAATCAGCATTTAAAATTGCAATTAACATTGTTGCTGGCGGGGATCGAATCCGAGTTGCTTGTATACGGTGAAATTTTCAAGGAGCGCTTAACTTCTGACCTATCACGACTACCGAGGGACCATAGACCATTTGATATCTCATTGATAGACAATTTGATAACTCTCTCCGTTCCAGAGAAAAGGGGTTGAAAAAAAAACAAATGGACAGAATAACAACAGAGTAATCCAGATATTTCCAACAGAGATATTTCCTTTAAGAGGTCGGAACCCCAAAAAAGGTTGTGATAAAACCTCTATTGTGATATTTGGCGATTTCTTTGTACTGTTTATCGCTAAATCAATCTATTATTTGATACTGATAACAATTGTACCGTCAAAGTGATGTCACTGACCACTTGTATCGCCATCTCGAAATTATCATGTGCAGGTTATCTGGTACATTATCTTGATGCGACAACACTATCAAGCACTTTACTAATGGGTATTTCAGCTCTTTGTACACGAGGCAGTTGGTTTGTATTCTGAATGAAGTCAAAATATTTTCTTTTTCTACAGACTTGAAAAGAGGATGTACTCAGTTCGACTGTATGTTTTTTTGTGTGTTACCTTATAACTTTTTCTGGGTGTGAATTTCGATGATTATTTTTTTATTTGAAAGCTGGTGCTTCTCATGTGGTCCCATATAAATTTGATCAAGGTCTGACCAGTAATAGTTTTTGAGTTATTCTTAATAATTTATATTGAAGTCGGTTGTATAAAATTTAAATTTTGATTTTAAATTATGTAATATTTTGATTTCATTTGGAATGCCTCTTAGTAATGTTATAAAATGTGTAATAGCAATGGATTTAATTTTAATTTGGCAAAAAGGCATTTATTCTCAATGCTAGGCAAGGAGCCCTTCAGTTTCCTACACCTTTCTTGATTGGAATCTACGCGAGCATTTCTAAAAGGTAGTATTAGTGGCCGCGAAACCATTTGTCATATCTCCTTAATTTCAAAGCGGAGTTCCTTGTTGCCTCAGCCAGCGTCGAAATACTCGGCGTCGACATGTCAAATGACGTACAGTTCCTCGGTCACCTGGAAGACCATATTGGCCTCTAAAAAGCTTGGTGTACCTACTTAATGGAGTGAGACAGTATGTCATGAAGGCACAGCGCTTGCAACTATATAAGGCGCAAGTTCGGCCTCACATGGAATATTCTTTATTTCTGGACCACGTTTCCCTAGTGCTAGCTACTTCCACTTGACCATATCCAGCGCAGAGCGAATCGCCGACGACCTAATTATTTCTGATTGGATTGACTCACTGACGCTGTGAAGAGATGTTACGCCCCTTTGCATATTCTATCGCATCTACCACGGGGAGTGTTCAGAGAAATTGTATTCCAGCCTATAAATTTGACCACCGCACATCGCAAGAAAACTCGCAATACCATCCATCCATCTGGAAGACTGGCAGTCGACAGCTGTGCAATTTATTACAAACTCTAGGGCCTGTATAAATATATAGTAGGTAGATAACGAAAAAAAATGCAATAAACATATTATACTGAGTATGTTTCAATAGATAGATGAGAATATTTAACAAGTTGATGGATGTAGATGAATCTGTGTTTTACGGCATTCCTTAGCAATGGAAATGTGAAGTAATGATATTTTTGCAGCTTTGAGCCTTTATTAGCAGACCCACGCATCGTATTTAAAATATATAGTTCGTATTATGGCCTGCAGTAACTACTTACCTATAGATATATTTTTTTAAATATCGCCGTTTCAGCCTCTTAAATGTTAAAATAATATTTTATACATATGTATATATTAGGGTTGGCAACCGCAACCCTAATTCTAGTTACGCGACCGTGTGTGCGGTTTAAGCCCATGGCAAGTCCAGCAAATACTTTTCCTACTCTATTGTTCGTTTCGCTAATTTTGGCGGTTAAAAGGGCTCCCGTATGCGCAAGACCTAATTCAAATTGAAATATTGCTATCGTATCAAACAAATAAGTTAAGCCGCCGATAACGATCTTTCTTATTGACGATAGCTTTCATTATTATCTATATAATTACTGTGATTTTGTTTTAATGCTACTGAATATCAATCAATCGTAAAGATATGATAAAAATTTTAAAATTTCCCCTTACATTTACAAACGTATATATTTTTTAAAGAAATCAGAAAGGGTAAAGATGTGGTGGAAAACGGGTATTGTCCTTATCACTATAGTCTCTAGTTGGGTGAGATTTCTTTTTGTTTAATTTTTTTTAGTAAATTTTTTGATTCGATACGGCTATCCGCAGCTATATTATCACTTTCACTGTCCGGTTTTCAGACACAATATAATAAGACAATACCAATGAATAGGTATGTGAATGTAGTGCACGGGACAGCGAAAGGGTTAAAATTGGACTTAGGAAATTTGTGCGACAGTTGTACCTAGTCTAGTTAGTAGCACAGAGTAAATAATTAGTAGTAAATTCCTTTCATTAACCGAGTTCAAAAAGGAGGAATACAATTATTTACAATTGTTTTAAAGTCGACTGTATATTGTTTTTAAATGTGTGTTATACTATATTCTTAAAGATTAATATCTATGTAATTAATCTGTTTAAAGTTACAGCCTATATACAGAGTTATTTAGAAATAACCGGACAAATTTGCAGTTCAGAATAAGTAATATAGGCAAATGGTGAAGAAAAGTTAATTAAAAAAATCTCAAACATTCTGTCCTTTTTATTTTTTTTTAATTCAAAATGCGCACGCACTCATTCGTAAAGGTCGATCGGTAAGCAAAAACGTTGTAGCTCATAAACCGCATTCAATTTGGGATTATTTCAAATAAAAGTAGAAGCCTTATTTAATCGTATTTTTAAAAACTGCAGTAACCGTATATCATTATTTATATATTTGAACTTAAGTTTAAAATTTGACTACTCTTTGAAAAATAATCTTGTATGACATCCCACTGTTGGGCACAGGCCTCCTCTCATTTCTGAGAGGGTTTAAGGGCAAGGAAATGTTCGCCGCGTTGCCCCAATGCGTGTTGACGAACTTCAAATGTCTTCGAAATATTTTTTTTCTTATTTCTCAGACATGCAGGTTTCCTCCCGATGTTTTCCTTCACCGCCGAGCCCTTGATAAAACTGTTTAGCTGACTTTTAGGTAGTAATATCGTATACCTATACTTTCATAGTAGATCTCCGTGGCGCAGTGACTTAGTAATGAGTTATTGAGCTGGGGTCCGCGGGTTCGAATCCCGCACGGAACAAGTATTTGTATGACCTACAAATAATTGTTCCGGGTCTGGATGTTTGTCCTTGTGCAATTTGTGCTTGTAAACTGCCTCCACGATACAGGAGAAAATCCTAGTGAGAGTAACATTTTTTAAAGAAAAAGATTAAAAAAAAAGATAAAGATCTTTTACAATTTTTTATTTACATTGTGAAAACATTGTGGTTAAAATTCCAATTTTAACCACAATGTTTACTATGTTTAGAGACAAATGGAAGACTTTTGTCGAGATCGGTATGTCGAGTAATCTACGTGTTACATCCATTTACCATCAAATGGACTAAGTGCTCATTTATATACCTGACCGAATTATCGAATGAATCGGTGGTTGGGCACTATTTTTTCGCATACATGTTTATAATTATTTACATTAATTTATATTTTCAAAATATAAGATTGCAAAATGTTATTTGTGCTAGTAACTCAACGAACTCTAAGATTTAAAATACTATAGCAGCTTTATTTAATATTCGATTACTTATAATTTAAACTTTAAGTACAATATTAATTTTTGTCTGGAAAATATTAAACGGGTTGGTATATTTAGCTTGAAATATCCATTCTAAACAAGACAAAAAAATAACATGTTTGTAAATTTCCAGGCCTCTGCCGAGTTTGTAAAGCCAGACTTCATTGAAAATGTAGTCAGAAGAGGTATGTTCTCTATTTATTTCAACATTTTTTAATCCTTATGTACGAAATTACCATTTCACACAAATTTTTAACTTTTTCTATTATATTTATAAATTTAATATTTATTTGGAAGTAAAGACTAAAAATGAGTTGGGGGGTGACTCGAACTTTAGGCCTGGGCAGTTTGAATAGCCTATCATGTAGAGGATGTCGTGAGTAGTCATAGTTGAACAAGGACAAAACGTTCTCATTACACTCCTAGGGGGTCAAAATGGCCAAAAAAATTCTTATTTCTGCTATAACTCCGCCTACTTCGGATCAGCTAGTGAATTATAATTAAATATTGTCTCAACAGTGCATGATATTTTTGTCGTAAATTATTAGCTACTTACTTCAAAATTACATCGGTCGTCCGATTACGAACTGTCAGGAACGGAACTATGGGGGGAATTTATTACATAAGCCTGTTAATAATGATTTTAGCAATAATTTACGTTACATTATAAAAAAACTAATCAACGCTTTCTATCTTAGCTTTTCATTTACACGAAACTTCGGTGAAACAAACGTTTAAATTGACCAACCGTTATTTGAGTTACAGCGCCCGATTCACGAATAGTGTCTGGTTGGGAGGCAAAACCCGGACAACATCCGCACCATGCGGCCCTCCGCATGGTCAACCTGCGGGGCTCGGTCAGTGCTTGCGGGGGCTCCATCGTGCATCGCAACTGGATGATCACTGCAGCGCATTGTACCGCAGGGTCAGTAATAATAAAACAGGCCAGCCTCCGCAGAGTCTACTTCACCTGAGGATGCCTCGTGTAGAGGCGAAACACGTGTCGTATTTTCGAGAGTGGTGTGTCGTGCCTAGTGTGGTGGTCCTGGGGGTGGTAGTGCTGGGATTGATGGCGACGGGTATAGTGCGCACGATTGAGGGAGGGTGGGAGGTCTCCTTAAAACTGGGCAGGACATATCATTTTCTTTCTTTACGCGGAATTAAGCAAATTAGTTTATAACAACCCCATTATAATGGATTTCCGCAAAGTAACGCCTGATTCTATTAATTATCCTCTCACCGTTTTGGCATCTTGCTACCATTAATATTATCTGGGTGGTAGGATTACTTTTTTGCCTAGGAGTCTGTGCTGTGTTTCGGTCTGAAGTAATATAGATAATGAATATAGTTAAGTGGGTTCGAATCCGCCCATTCGGTTACCGTCGTGAACCAATTCTAATACTATTTCTATTCTAATGGCTTAAGACTAAAATCTTCGATGACATTGAGGCTATGGTATCATTGTTTAGTTATCATAATCTGTCTAGTGACCAAAAGGACTGCGGTAATGAAATCGTTTATGGAGGAAGCTGCGCCTGACTTCTTCCGATCCCAAGACATTGTTGTAGGGCTAACCTAAACCTAAAATTAAACCTAAAAGTAAATCTAAAAGTTATATCTACACACAGGCCTTTTTTACTGGAAATGAGGCATTCCATCTTAGTCCTCACGGGTGACAACGCATCTACATTTTGATTTGTAACAGAGGATAGATGTAGATGTCTATGGGCCGCAGCAACCACTTACCATCAGGTGGACTGTGTGCTCGTTTGTCACCCTTATCCTATAAAAAAAAAAGGTCAACGAAATTGACCCATAAACACAATGCGTACACACACACACGCACGTACACAAACACACAAGCACGCACGCACACGCGCAAACGCGCAAACACACACACACACACACACACACATTGCGCGTGTGCGTACACTCAAATCCCCACTCACATACATCACACACCGCGCGTGTACGTACACTCAAAACCCCACTCTCATAAGTCACACACCGCGCGTGTACGTACACTCAAAATCCCACTCACATCACACAAGTGCGCTCCTTATCTTTTTGTATTTTGTAATTTCATTTCTTTTATTTTGTTTTCAATTACATACACTGTATATGTAATGTTAAGAGGAAAAGCGGAGTCAGCGGAGACACCTAACACAAGCATCTCTTTGCTTAAAAGGTGACCTCCAAATCCTGTATGTTAAAGAATTATAAATATAAGTAATTGAAATAAACATTTTTTTAATACAAACATTTTGCAAAAAGCAGCACAAGGTCCTAAATGGTAAATACATTAGACCAAGAAATACCTTTTCAATCTTCCTTTAAAGGTCCTAAATTGTTGTGATCTGGGAAGACTGATGCAAATGAAAAATTCTATTCCCTCGCTATGTGTACCAGAAACTATAAAGCGACATTTTGAATGTAGGAACTATAGAGTGCAGTTTTCACAAACAATCTCTCTTTTGCAGCTCCATAACCGTGGTTGTTCGCGCCGGTGTGACCGACCTAACTAGGCCTGAGTACATTTTTGAGACTACGGAATGGTACAATCATCCCACATACAACGACCTAGCTCCTAGCTTGGTGCAGCCCAACGACATTTCTATCGTGCGTCTCCAACGCCCGGTGATCTATTCTGGTAAGAAACATTTAAACAATGTAACTTATATGCTTCAACTTAAATATTTCCTTTTAGCTTGTTTTTTTTTCTTTTATACAACGCTGGATACATTTTTTTTTTGCGCCCGAAGCAATTTGGAAAAGGGCTACCCTTTACGGGAGGCGGAAAATGCATTACGCATACCACGATGGCTATCCATCGTGGTTATGGGGGACTCACGCCTAACCGGGGAGCCTATGTGATACCCCCTAAAAACCGCCTTTGGGGACTGGCAACCAGCTGTTTAAAGCTTCCTATGCCGTATCGGAAGCGACCCTCTTTTGGGAAAAGAGGGCGCAGGCGGCTACAAGCCGCTGAGGGAGTGCCTACGGAGGCAATTTGATTGTAAAAAAATTAATTATCTATGAAAGTTTAATTATGATATTGACTGAGCCACCAGGAGGCAGTTCAAGTCGTTTGACAGAGATTAGGCGGGTTCGAGTGGGAGTTCCTCGGCCTGCGGATGAGATAGCGAGAGGGAGTGGGGTTGCACACTTAGCTACCTCACGAATAAGTATGTTTAATGAAACTCTGAGACTTTGAAGAAGTTTCAGAGAGTTTTAATTAGTGAGTGCCTACGAAGGCAGTTTTAACCCGACGTATTGACCTTACGGTGAAATGATTAAAATAATTTTATAACGTACTTAAAAGATTATGATGCTCTGTAAGAGCAGGAGTCGGTCCTGAGGGGACTTGGCAGCGCGCAATTTGCGTGCTAAGACTGTGATCTCCCCAATGTTGATGTTCTTAATAGCGGCGTACACCGTATTTAGATCATCAACCATTGAGGGTTGTGTTTGCTGTGCAGCAGGGGACGCGGAGGGTCGGCCTTTTTGGGTCCCCAGGGAAAGACTGGAGGCTGTAATGGTTGCGAGAAGCCCGGAGGTGGGCGAAGAAGAGGGGGAGGGACCCGGGAGGGCCTTGGGTCCACCTGAGATGGGCGAAAATACCTCTTAGGTGGCAATCTTGACGGGAGGGCCGGGAATGACTTAGCATTAACCGGCGGTGGAGCGTGCCTAATGGGGCGGGGGTGAGGTGCGCAAGGGCAGCCTCTGTAGTTAGCCGGGTGGCCTGTTTGTTTACACAGGACGCACGCGGGTGGGGATTCGGCATTTTTGGGCCGGGGACACTCTTTCGTGTTGTGGGGGTCGAGGCACTTAACGCACCTGGGTGGGGCGGAGCAGTTGGCCGCCGCATGACCATATAACTGGCAGCGGTGGCACTGCGCCGGGTAGCCGCGCCTATGTGGGAGCTCAGCCCTAACTCCCGACAGCCCACACACTGTGCGTAACTGCCGGAAGATAGTCTGTGCCTCCGGTGCGTTTGCAAGAATAACGAGAGCGAGGGGGAACCTCAAGCCCGTTCTGCTGTGCATTTTATGCACAGCCTCAACCGGGAATCCTTGGGACTTAAGGTCCTCAAGGATTTCCTCGTTGGAAATTTCAAAAGGGACGCCTCGGATGACGGCCCTGACTTTGCGCTCTTCCGGAAGAGCGTACGTGTGATAAGAGACTTGTTCGGCTGTGAAGAGCCTGGTGAGACGACGAAAGTCGTCGACAGATTGGGGGATGATTTTAATAGCCTCCCCGAGGTTGGTGGCTTGGTCGTATTTAATTCCTGCGTCGTAGCAGGCTTTGGAGAGGCGGGTGAACTGAGCCTTGTCTCGTAAGAAGACAGGGGGCGGGACTTGCTTCTTAGTCGGGTTAGAAGCACAGCGGGAGGCCGGCTTGGGCAGTGGTGTCACGGAAACTGCAGCGGGAGCTGCTGGGACTGAGGCAGCTACGGGGGCTGCGGGGTTTGCGGGGGCGGCAGAGGCCGCCGAAACGGTGTGATTTTTCGCGGCGCGCTTACGGCGCTTGGAAGACACTGTCGTGAACTCCGATTCTTCGGATCCGTCTGAGTCAGACGACTCCGTAGAACCGGAGCCCCGGAGTGTGGATTCTGAGTCGGAGTTGGAGTTGGAGCACTCCATGTCTACTTCGAGAGGCGCAAATGAGTTCTGGGACTCAATGTGGGGCGCTATAACGGACTGAGATTGGTTTGCGTTATTGACGAAAGAAGTCATCATGTCTAGAAGTGCAGCGAGTTTCTGCGTGTCCTGCGTCCTATTGACGACTTCAAGAAAGTAATTTCTCATGTCCTGAGCGGACATTTTTAACTGAGTGTAAGTTAATAAGTTAAGGGGACGGGGGGACACTGTTCTGAGAAGAACAGATCGTATTTTTAGAAACAGTAAGGGCGGGATCACCGTTCTGAAAAGAACGGGACGTTCTTATTCGAGGAGTTGTGCCCTGGTTCGCAAAAGAACAGGGCCTTGCTCTGAAAAGAGCAAGTAACTCCCTTGAAACAATATACGCGTTACAATTAATAACAATAAAATAATCACAAAAACAAAAATGACAATTAAAAAGCAAGACCAACAGTCAAACCGCCCCGCCCGAAGACAGGGAGGTAATAACTGGAGTTAGCGTAAAAGGACTCACCAGGCGTCGCACTGTACAGTGCGAGCAGGACAGCGGAGGCGCGAGAGCGAGAGAGCACTACCGTACGGGGACGGATGTGCGGACTACCTGGACACGACCGCTCGAGAGCGGTGCCACAGGCGGAATGAAGCCGCTGGATACTTTACGGCTTTATATAAATACTAGCTGGCCAGGCAGACGTTGTTCTACCCTTTCCGACGACCTTTTGTCCTATAAAAATCCGTAAATTCGCAATAAAAATTTTTGAAGGTCACTTATTGGGATAAAAACTATCCTATCTCTCAAGTTGGATCAAACTGCACACAGTGTGCAAAATTTCATTGAAATCAGTTCAGTAGTTTAGGAGTTCATCGCGGACAAACAACGTGACAGGTAATTTTTATATATAAAGATATAGTACGTATAGAATTAACCTTACTTCAGAAAATTGCACCATAAAAAATTAAATTAAATTGAAATAAATTATATGACTATAATATGATAATTAAGTTTCTAGTTTTAGTTTTTTTATTATTATTATAGTTTTTAATATTGTCTATAGTAAAAAAAAAATCTTTTTTCAAATTGTATGTGGTATTATTACTTCATGGGTGATGCGGGGTCTTTGCAATATTCTAACTTCCCGGCCAATGCAGAGATAAGTAAACCACATACATTTTGCAAATTATTTTTTTAATTATTTTTTTTTATTCTGATAGTATTCAAAATAAAAAAAAATAAGTTAACACACTTAATGGGAACCACAAGGTTTTTCTACCGACTTCAAAAAGTTGACGGACGGTACTCAATTCGACTAATTTTTTTTTATGTGTGTTACCTCATAACTTTTTTCTGGGCGAACCGATTTCGATGATTCTTTTTTATTTGAAAGCTGGTGCTTCTCGTGTGGTCCCATATAAATTTGATCAAAGTCTGACCAATAGTTTTTGAATTATTCTTAATAATCTATATTGAAGTCGGTTGTACAAATTTTCAATTTTAAATTATGTTACATTTTGTATAGTCATAAGCAGCGACATACTAGGGAAATGATAGTAGGAGATGTACAGGAGCAACGTCTTGATTACAGCTCGAAATAATTAAAAAACTGCGGTTACCAATCCGCCAGCCATGTGTGGCAACTATGGCAAAATTTCGAAATTCGGTAGCATTTACGCTACTATTTAACGATGGTATTTCATGAAAGCGTGATCCTTCCCCGGTCGTGCCGATCAATTCGTGCTGCATCCATAATAGAAATGGAGCGTGGCTCTACCACATGCAATGAATATGGCAGCCTTGAAGGTACGGACCTGTCCATCCTATGGCTGCGCGTAGACACTAGACAGCGACTACCATCCCCGCGTCTACGGGTGCCTCTATAGTTCCAAATGGCCAAATGGATTCCAAATGGCTACATATTCCTTGCTACAGCAGATCGAATCCGCAGAGATCGTGATCCTTGACGATTTTAACGCCCACCACGCCGAATGGCTCGGTTCACGTTTAACCGATCCTACGGGGAAATCGGTTTATGACTTTGCCTTGGTATATGGTCTTACACAGCTGGGTACTTCGCCTATGCGTATCCCAGATGTGGACGATCATGTACCTTCCCTGTTAGAACTTCTGCTGACCTCTCATCCGGACGGATATCAGGTTTCCGTCGACGCCCCTCTAGGCTCGTCGGACCATTGTCTTGTCCGGAGTGTGGTGCCACTCACACTAACGTCGCGGATGCATTCCGCAGGCTGCCGCTGTGTTTGGCACTATTGGTCCGCCGATTGGGATAGTATGCGGTCTTTTTTTGCATCCTACCCTTGTGGACGGGTTTACTTCTCCAATTTCTCCATAGAGAGGAGGACTCACTGGCCCATGCCGCAAAGGAGAAAGCCGATCTGTTAGGATCTCTCTTTGCGTCCAACTCGATTCTCGATGACGGAGGGAACACACCGCCGCCCACCCCACGGTGTGAATGCTCCATGCCGGATGTGGGGTTTACACAGCACTCGATTCGTAAAGCACTACTCTCCCTGGACGTCAGCAAGTCGAGTGGGCCTGGTGGAGTCCCTCCTATTGTGCTGAAGACATGTGCTCCGGAGTTGGCACCTGTTTTAACGCGTCTTTTCCGGTACTCCTACTCCCAAGGCGTAGTCCCGAATTCATGGAAGACAGCTTTGGTCCACCCGATCCCTAAAAAAGGTGACCGCTCAGACCCGTCCAACTACAGGCCTATCGCCATTACCTCCTTCTTCTCCAAAATACTTGAGTCCATTATAAACTGCCAGCTCATGAGGTACCTTGAGGATCACCAGCTGATTAGTGACCGCCAATACGGTTTTCGTCGGGGTCGATCAGCTAGTAATCTTCTGGTCTACCTCACTCATAGATGGGCGGAGGCAGTAGAGTCCAAGGAGGAGGCATCGGCCGATAGTTTGGACATAACGAAGGCCTTCAATTGGGTCTGGCACAAAGCGCTTCTTTCGAAGCTCCCTTCCTATGGGCTTCAATTCCAAATTGTGCAATTGGATCACCAGTTTCCTTGCTGAATGGAGAATCAAGGTCGTACTAGACGGTGCGTGCTCTGATTACAAGCCTATCAACGCTGGTGTTCCACAAGGCTGCGCGCTACCACCAACGCTGTTTCTTCTGCATGTCAATGATATTTTGCAATCGGGTAACACTCATTGCTATGCAGATGACAGTACTGGTGATGCTTTATATACCGGCCGTGCCAATATTTATCGAGAAAAGTCACCGAGTACCGGGACAAACTTGTGTCTGAAGTCGAGTCTTTGCTGAACAAAGTCTCGGATTGGGAGCAACTAAATCTAGTCCAGTTCAATCCCCAGAAGACACAAGTTTGCGCATTTACCGCTAAAAAGGACCCCTTTGTCGTATTTCCTCAGTTACAAGGCAATCCCCTTGCTAGCATCGGAATCCTCGGCGGCGATATATCGAATAGTGTGCAGTTTCCTGGTCACGTGGAAAGGAAGGCCAAATTGGCCTCTAAAAAGCTTGGCGTGCTCAGCAGAGCGAGACTGTATTTCATGCCGGTACATCGCTTGCAACTTTACAAAGCGCAAGTTGGGCTTAACATGGAATACTGTTCTCATCTATGGGCCGGGGCACCCCAGTGCCAGCTCCTTCCACTTGACTGCATCCAGCGCAGAGCGGCTCGAATCGTCGACGACCAAGTCCTTTCTGATCGGCTAGATTCATTGGCGCTGCGAAGAGATGTTGCATCGCTTTGCATTTTCTATCGCATCTATCACGGGGAATGTTCCGAGGAATTGTTCGGATTAATTCCAACCGACAAATTTCTCGAACGCAAATCGCATCAAAATTCACGATACCATCTTCACCATCTGGATGTTTGGCGGTCCACCACTGTGCGTTTTACTAGGAGTTTTCTTATTCGTATAACTTTTCTGTGGAATTATTTACCATCATCGATTTTTCTGGACTGATACAACTTAGAGACCTTCAAGAAAAGAGCTTACTCCATTCTAAAAGGCCAGCATTGCACCTGCAATTCCCCTGGTGTTGCGGTTGTTCATGGGCAGCGGTGACTACCGCTGATCAGGGGAGCCGCATATTCGTTTGCCCCCTCTTCTATAAAAATAAAGAAATAATACATCTGCAGTCCACCGTGTAGTGGCGGTGTACGAATACACCACTCCACGATGGTCCACCATATCGTCCCGTGGGTGCCGTAAGAGGTGATGAAGAGAATCTGAAACAGAAAATGGGCAGCAGCATCTTCGTGATAAGAACTTAAAATTATAAAAACTGCGGTTGCCAACCCGCCTTCCAAGCGTGGCAAGTATGGCAAAATCCCCAATATGAGAAAATCTACGGGGGAGTCCGAATGTTTAGCAGTGGAGTGGACTGGGCTGTAATGGATGGATGGAATATTATATCTAAATTATGAAAGGCATCATTTTAAAAAAATTAGCCCCACGCTAAGATTTTTTTGTATCGTGAAAACATTTTACATACATAAATATCACATGGACAAACCCTGAATAATTATTTGTAGGCCATTATAGCTACTTATTCTGGTTGATTCAACGCTACGCATCAAAACTCTTAGCCACTGCGTTTTCGAACCATCGTTTTCTCTATAAATTATATTGAAAAACGAGCTAACAGTGTAATTGACTGTTTGTGTGCATTGCATGCAGGACACTCGCAGTGCTCGTAACAAACTTCAAATAGACAAGGCTACAGCAGCTGTCTCATCCCTGAGACTAAGTTGAAATGCCCACGAAAAACATAAGAAAACGAAACAAGAAAGCCAGCATAATTACACCCTATGTCTGCTATAATTGCTGGCTTTCTTCTATCTTCATTTCAAACCAGAACACAAAAATAAGTGTGCTGCCTACACATATCCAGATGGACTACTTAAGGAGCCTTATTAACTTATCAATTTAAAAAACATTAAGTCATAGTGTAACTAATAATAATTACAAATTGTATTAATTACGCATTTTACTTTATTTCTAGATAATTTGCGCGCGATCCGATTACAGCCCGCTTCCGATGCGTACAAAAACTATGAGGGTCAAACTCTTTATGCTAGCGGACATGGCAGAACCTGGACAGGAGGTAATAATATTAAGTTATTACGTAGAAATAGATACTGCAGAATATATATTAAAAAGAAGAGATAGAGTAGGGAGGACTTAAGGAAAACATCGTGTATTTTTTAAATTATTTATTATAAATCAAAATTAAGAAACGTAACAAAGTCTTTAATTATCGATTAATCAACAATTTATCAACAAAATTATATCTCATTAGCCTACTGTTAGTAGTGTTTTCCTACTTTATTAAAAAAAAACACGTTTGAGCGGCATTGTCCATTAATGAGTAATGATGCTCAAACATGTTCTTGGAATATGTTTGGAGTAAGATACATTTTAATTAAATAAATATTAACGAGTTCAACCTTATACAATAAAAGTAAAGTCTACAATCACAAATTAGCATCAATTGGCCCCATTTGAACGTAAGATTAATCTTTTTGAATTTAACAAATATACTAAGGTCTTCGATGTCGAATCAACTTCAATTATTATAATATAATATAAAATTATTATTATTATTAGAGGTAAGACAAATTAGAAATAGAAATATTTTATTTTTGGACACATAAAACACAAATTTATCCATCTGGTGAATCCCACCCTGAACATATAGCATGAGCCCACAGTCCGCAGATAGTGCAGCGATATTTTTATTATTATACTCGTTATTTTTTCTAAATTCTTCGCTATTTCCGAATACGTTTGTTATGATTTTCATCATCCACATTCATTTCGTCATTACTGCCATCGTCGCAAAGGTGCTCTTCATATTCACTCTCTGATGAACTTTCTTGTAAAAATTGTCTCTTGTAGGATTTTTGTTTCTAATGTTTGTTCTTCTTTTCTTTGACAACTTTTTTTTGGTCTTGATTTATCATCTTTTCCAGTTTTATTGAGTTTCGCTATTTTTTTTCTTTTCTTTATCCTCTAAAATAGTTTTCATTGGAGTCGCAGTTAATATGGTACCATGTTGCTTTCGCTTTCTTTGACCTAGGTTAGAAGATGGCGCAATAGTTGGTGTCGTTCCTAGTTGCAGCAAAGTATACCGGAGTTCTTTGCTCATCAACAAGTTCTTGGTTACAAGCACAAGCAACTGCCAAAAGAGATTCGGAGCATTGATCCTTATTTGATGGTCCTGCCAAAGAAGATGTATGTCCTGAAATTATGGTCATACCATCAGATTGCGCATCTTCAAAATTCTGGACATTTGGGTCTTGGTTTTCAGCGTTTTGTTCCAATTCTTGTGCTATCGGCGACGCTGCCACATAATCTTGATCAGTTAAAACATTTGTGTTTAATGGGTAAATTCCCGTGGCTCGAAATCCAGATTCTGTTTTACTTATATTCGCAACTTGTACGTATGTTTTATTGAAAAGACCTGCAATATCGTATGAAGTTATTTTAGATATTAAATGTGTCTTCATGTGCCGGTTGCATTCATGCCTATAAGCAGCTTTCAGCAGCCCATAAAAGGACACATCCAGCGGCTGTGTTCTGTGAGAACTGTGTCGTAGAATAAAAAACATTGTGATGTGGTTTTCTTTGCAAAAATTAAAAGCTTGAAGGGAAATGTGACTGCTGTGATTGTCCAGAATTAACAACACAGGTGATTCTTGGGTAGGCTTAGCAAATGCTGCGAAATGTTTGAGCCAAGTGACAAATAAGTCTTCATTTATCTAGCTATTTTTAGAGTTGGTGTATAACGCACCAGATGGTCCATCTTTTTCTAATATAGGCGTCATTCTCTGTCTGGCAAAAATAAACATGGGTGGTATGAAGATTCCGGCTGCACTCATCGTACACATAACTGTTATGTTGCTTCCTCGTTCGCCGCTTGTAACAGATCCGACTTTTCTTTGTCCTTTTTCGGCGAGCACTTTTACTGGGTCTGTCACCGTGGTGATACCAGTTTCGTCAGCATTGTAAATGTTGATGGGAATAAACTTACTTATAACTTAAAAATATGTTACTTCTTCTTTGTTGAAAGCAAAAATTCTATTTAAGCTTGTCGTTTCAGCTTTGCGTATAGAAACTGAAGGATTGCATCTCTTAAAGCCATGTACCCAATCCAATTCAACTGTTTTGCTGTTTTGATCAAAATTGATTTTGATATTGTTGGGCTTAGCGTATTTATAAACAAGTTTACTCAAATCTGTGACATTAAGTCCATAGTATAGCGAACCCAGCATCTTAACTTGTTCAGCAGTTTCAGTTTCTTGCTGTTGGGTGAAAATGGGCTTGCGACCTAGTCTTGGGTTTCTCATCTTTTTATTTTTTAGTCGATCTCTCAAAGTAGTAAATGGTATGTTATATTGTTTTGCGGCTTTTCTTTTGAACAAACCTCCTTCAATCGCAGTTTTAGCAGATTGAAGGTCTTCTTCAGTCCAAGTCGCTTTAGCGGTGGTCTTTTGACGATTTCTTGGCATATACTACAACAACAAAAAATAAGTCACTAAGGGGTAATGGCGCTCAGATGAGCGCGAGTTTTGTAATTAATTTTATATTAATAAAAAATCATACACAGTTGTTGAAAATTGATTGCGTTATCACAAAATAGAATAGTTTTATTGTCTGGAAAGTAATAAGCATTAAAGTTTTGGACTTACCGACAAAAACACCTACCCAAAAATTAGATTAGCGCGGTCGCAAACGAAGAAACGCGAGCAATTGTCCGTTAACATCGCTGTCTATTAGATGCCCCCTCCCCTCGCGCTTCACGCCACCCGGCGTGTTGCTACGTTCCATTTTGACAGAGTTACACATTTGAAATTGGTCCCCACTCTTGTTAGATAAAAGAAACTAAGCGAACAATATTAGTCGAATGTAATCTTTACTATTCTGCATTGTTTGAGGCTACCGTATCTTACAAAATTTCGATACATTTCATATTATAATATACTTATATACCCTAGTATGTATTACTATCACCGGCTATATTTGGGCGTGGTGTGGTCTAAGGTCTTATATGAGTCTTCCGTTTTAATCGAGGTTCTAAAGGAAAGGACCACTTTTCCACTGTTCAAATACTTTTAAATTCCTTTGAATATTGCCAAAAGATATTTATTAAATATTTTAAAACTATAGATATTAAGAAAACAACAGACATGGGGGATTTCCGTTAAAGTTATTTTATCTATAGATACAATAGCAAATTACGAGTATCTACCTACTATACTAAACGTGGTAGAGCCATGCTGCAGCTATATTAGTAGTATAGTTGTAGCACGAATGAGTCGGCTCGACCGGGGAAGGACCACGCTCTCACAGAATACCAGCGTAAAATAGCAGCTTAACAGCAGTGTTTCGTATGGTGAGTGTAGAGATCCGGAGACCCTTTTTACTGGAAAAAAGACATTCCATCTTAGTCCTCATGGGTGACAACGCATCTGCATTTTGATTCGCAAATGAGGATAGATGTAGAATTCTATGGGCCACAGCAACCACTTAACATCAGGTGGACTGTGTGCTCGTTTGTCACCCTATACTATAAAAAAAATTTAAAACAAGCGACGCATATGGTGTGTTTCCCGATTTAATGAAACATAGTAAAGTCATATTGTTATTTAAATCTGGTGTACATAAAACCTGCCAATTTTAGACCAAGTTTTGTACTACCAACATTTTGTAAAAATTTTGAAATAATAATTTTAGATCGGATGTTAAGTTTTTTTTAATATTAATAAATTGTATTACTATTATATGTAAATGTTATGCTTAATGCTTACACTTTATGCAGTATGTACTCTACCATGTAATATTAACTTTAAAAAAATACAAAAAAGACGGTGTTTCTTTCTCCGTTTGCAGTCGTGAAACCTCATTTTGAAACGGAAAAGATTTACTAGGTATAAAAAAGTTACTTTTGACGAATAAAATTTTATTTTCTTACGTTGATGAAAAATTAATTTCATTTAATTACAGGTGGCAGCCCCGAGGTGTTGAACTGGGTGTACCTGCGCGGAGTATCGAATCCGTCTTGTGCGACGGTCTTTGGCTCTATCATCACCAGTGCAACAATTTGCGCTCAATTCTATAACGTCACTTCACAGTCCATTTGCCAGGTTAGTCTAGCTTGTTACATATTTATTTATCTATTTATACGTGGTAGAGCCATGCTGCAGCTATAATAGTAATATAGTTGTAGCACGAATGGGTCGGCTCGACCGGGGAAGGACCACGTTCTCACAGAACACCAACGTAAAATAGCAGCTTAACACTGCTGTGTTTCGTATGGTGAGTGTAGAGAACCGGAGACCCTTTTTACTGGAAAAGAGGCACTCCATCTTAGTCCTCACGGGTGACGACGCATCTGCATTTTTTTCGCAAACGAGGATAGATGTAGATGTCTATGGACCACAGCAACCACTTACCATCAGGTGGACTGTGTGCTCGTTTGTCACCCTAATCCTATAAAAAAAATCTACGGGTTAGTCATATAAATTTATAAGAAAATATGTAAGAACAACTTAACGCAAAATTGCTCTTTACCCTTCTTATTAGTTAGATACCTTAACTTTACTATTCATATACCTTAATTTTAAAACGTAATTATTGTTTTCTAACGCCGATCGAAGGTATTTTAAATAAGTATTTATTAAATGTGTTTTATTAAAGTTAGTAAAAAATACTTTGCCAATATCCGTTTGATGAAATAAAATGATGTGTCTTACTTAGTTTGAAGAGCACCGCCCCCTCTCCCCTATTCCCGTCACCACTAATCCCAGCACACAACACAACAGCACTAGGAAAAACACACCACCGAGGATACTATGACACCTGTTTCGCCTCTACACGAGACATCCTCAGGTGAAGTAGACTCTGCGGTGACTAATTAGTGAGTGGTGAGCCAAAACAGCTGCCAATTAGTAGTTAGTAGTACAAGTAGTAGCCATGCTCTATGCTTGTAATTAAGAGTTATTAATTTAACAGCAAGCGGCTGCGTTCGTCAGTTAGTGAATGGTATGTAAAACATGCGACCAATCACAGCACGCAAATTGCATGACGCGGTCGCTCGCTACTTAAGTGGGAAGCGGTTGTGTCAGGGAGTTGTATAAATAGCAGCTGTTTTGGCTACCCGCTCACTAATCGATCAGCCACCACAGAGTCTACTTCACCTGAGGATGCCTCGTGTAAAGGCGAAATACGTATCGTATTATCGCCGGTGGTGTATCTTTCCTAGTTTAGTGGTGACGGAGATAGTGCACGAAATTGAGGATGGACAGGAAGTGCTCTTCAAAATATGTAAGACATCATTTTATTTCATTAAGCGGTTATAGACAAAGTAATTTTTACGAACTTTCAAGATAATGGATTTCCGCAAAGTAACGCCCGATTCTATTAATTAAATGTGTTTTAGTTTGAATTTTTTCAACGCATTCGAAGTTAGTTCGGAAAGGGAAACGGAATATTACTTTGTTGTAGCACAGAATAAATAATAGTTTAGTTGGACAGCGGGGTAAGCCAAGATGACATTCTCTATAGAAAACTATTAAAAATGAATAGAATTAATGACATTTTACAGTTTTTTTATAGGTAGCATAGTTTTATAGTTTTCTATAGCGTTAACGATCGTAGAATGGTATCTTGGCTAACCATTTTTTTATTGTGGGGAAACACTCATGGATATCCCATAGCCCACTACGGAGGCGACGGAAAGATCATGCCGGACTCTTACCGGTGGACCCAAGGTGGTCATCATCAGCATATACATGGGGTCCCGGCGTTCCGAATAGACATCTGTTCCGCAAAAGAAGACACACAGTTTTGTATCGGGGAAAAACGTTTCTTTGTTGGACGCCGCCGGTGATGCGTATAAACAAAGTATAGACTAATAAATGAATAAAATACTGCAATAAAAGTAAAGTAATAATGCCGAAGCATCATACATCTGTCTTTGTCTTAACAGGGTGACAGCGGTGGTCCTTTAGTCACCTGGAACGAAGATGGCGATCCCATCTTGGTTGGAGTAAGCTCTTTTGTGGCTGGCGGCCAGTGGGGCTGCCATTCTGGATTACCTGGCGGTAACTAAAAATATTCTATTTTAATATTTATTATATAGCATCAACTCTAGTCGGTCAGCTCTAAAGGGGAAGGATCACGCTCTCACAGGAGATCAGCGTAAAATGCAGTTTATCTTTTTCATTTTTCATAGTCCACACACGCAAGACATAATGGTAGATTGCTCGAGTGGCAGCCTCGTATCGGTAAGCGAAGTGTAGGGCGGCTAGATGTAGTGACGACCTGGTAAGACATGAAGTCGATGGATACAGGTGGCTCAAGACCGTGCTTTGTGGCATTCCTTGGGGGAGACTTATGTTCAGCAGTGGACTTGTGAAGGGATGTTATGATGATTTCATATTTATATGATTTTTTATAGTATAGGATAGGGTGACAAACGAGCACACAGTCCACCTGATGGTAAGTGGTTGCTGTGGCCCATAGACATATACATTTATCCTCGTTTGCGTATCAAAATGCAGATGCGTTGCTACCCGTGAGGACTAAGATGGAATGCCTCGTTTCCAGTAAAAAGAGTCTCTGGTTCTCTACACTCACCATACGAAACACAGCAGTGTTAAGCTGCTATTTGACGCTGGTATTCTGTGAGAGCGTGGTCCTTCCTCGGTCGAGCCGACCCATTCGTGCTACAACTATACTACTAATATAGCTGCAGCATGGCTCTACCACGTATGAAATGATAGAACGCAGAAAGTTATTATCAATAGTGAAACCTCTTGCGGGTCTCCCGAATGTTATATGGGCGTTCCTCAGGGTTCAATTCTCGGCCCATTACTGTTTTTAGTCTATACTAATGACTTGCCTTATCTTGTAGGTGATAACCATGACATAGTATTATTTGATGACACTTAATTGATTTTTAAACTTAAATGGCAATCGTTTATATTTGACGAAATGAATAACGCTACTTATATGAAAATTAGTACTTACATTGGTTAACGTTAACAAGTCGATACCACTGTTTTTATGGTATTACTCTTGACGCAAAAGTTGAGTGGGACTCTCATATATTAGAAAGCAGACTAAGCTCTATAGCTTATGGTGTAAAAAAAATATGCGTGAGTGTCTTAGAACACTCGGTTGGAACGAAGTTCCTTTCGTAGTATATTATTATTGATAAACGTATTATATTATTGATTAACAAATACAAATAAATGAATTACTAGCGTCTATTAAAATGAAGCGTCATTTAAAATATTGCTTTCATGACAAATAAGAAAAAGTGCGAGGGAGATTGTTCCATCTCTCTCGCACTAGAGAAAGGGGGTCGTGACTGAAAAATCTTACACTTTTTCTCGTCTAGTCTCCATCCGTCAGATTCGTACCATGCGATAAGGAACTTCGTTCCAAAAAGACGTCTCAGTAGTATTGAGTCAGCTAGATTAGTTTATATCAGTTATTTCCATATCATTGACTTATGGAATTTTACCATGGGGAAATGCGACTGACCTGGAAACTATTTTTTTAGCACGTAACAGAGCCATGACACGGCTATATTGCAGTTGTAGCATAAATAGAATAAAATAGAGTAGAATAATTTTTATTCAATTTAGATTACATGTAATTCTTATTGAAAGTCATCTTTTACTTTATCACTGGTTCGGAAAAAAACCTCTGTCCTGGGAAGAACCAGCGAGAAACCCAACAATACTCTTTTTTTAAAGTAATTTATACAATATGAAGGGTTGTACAAACTATTTTCAAAATTTATTTTAGAAACAGCTTGGAAGCGACCACCTCATTTCCAAGGGTTATTATCAACCATGTATTCATTTATATTATACTAATACTTTATATACAGTTTTTGTTTAGTAAAATATTGAAACTTGGTTATAGAGAGACCGTGTATATTTTCTGGGACTTTTTTTTATACAAGTACATTGCGAATGGGTCGCCTCGGTCGGGGAAGGATCACGCTCTCACAGAAAACCAGCGTAAAATAGGAGATCAATGATGCTGTGTTTCGTATGGTGAGTGTAGAGACCCGGAGACCCTTTTTACTGGAAATGGAGCATTCCTTTATATTCCTCGAAGCTGACAACGTATCTACATTTTAATTCTTTACCGAGGATAGTTGTAGATTTATATGGGCCACAGCATCCATTTGCCATCAGGACTGTGTACTCGTTTGTCACACTTTATCTATAAATAATTTAAAATTAAAAATTTTATACAACAGTCTTCAATATAAATTAATAACAATAACCCAAAAACAATATAAATTGCCGTGTAGTGGCGGTTAAGAATATCCACTACCCCATGTCTTCCCGTGGGTGTCGTAAAAGACGACAAAGGGAAACAGGCAGGAGATGGGCAGCAGCATCTTCCTGATAACAACAAAATTACAATAAAAAACTGCGGTTGCCAACACGCTTGCCAAGCGTGGCAACTATGGCAAAACCCCCCCGATAATGAGAATAACAAAGAGATGGCCCCCAGTCCCCGGCGGCCCCGCTATTCCTGGCTACGGTGGCGACCATGGTAACTGCGGGGCAGGGGGTGATAAGAATCTCCGGTGGAGGTTCGGTTGCCACCTATGACGACTCGACCTGGCAACTTATAATGCACGCACACTGAGGACTGACGAGAAGATCCTGGAGCTGGAAGAAGAGATAGACAAGTTGCGCTGGAATATCATAAGATTATCCGAGGTCCGAAGAGAGGGGGAGGACACGGTAATCCTCGAATCCGGCAACTTGTTCTATCACCGGGAGGGCGACCATCTGTCCCAAGGAGGTGTCGGATTTATCGTCCACAAGTCTCTCGTTAACAACGTTGTAAAGATTGGGAGCGTGTCGACGAGGATTGCGTACCTTATACTCAGAATCACCAAACGGTATTCGCTGAAGGTCATACAGGTTTACGCACCAACCTCGGCACACACCGATGAGGAGGTGGAGGAAAAGTATGAGGATATCTCCAGAGCCATGCATTCCTCCAAAACCCACTATACGGTGTTAATGGGAGACTTTAACGCAAAATTAGGCACAAGAGAGAACGGTCAGCTGAAAGTAGGGAATTTCGGAATAGGGCAACGGAACCCAAGGGGCCAGCAGCTGGCCGACTTCATGGAGAAAGAGGGACTCTTTATGATGAACTCTTTCTTCCAGAAGCTGCCCCACAGGAAGTGGACCTGGTCGAGCCCCGACGGTTCGACAAAAAATGAGATTGACTTCATTATGACGACCAGACGACAACTGTTCAGTGATGTCTCAGTGATCGCGAGGGTGAAAACCGGCAGCGATCACCGAATGGTTAGAGGCACACTGAACCTAAACGTTAAGTTGGAGAGGTCTCGTCTAATGAAGTCAACGCTCCGTCCCCCTCGTGCTCTAATCCAAAGTACCGAAACCTTTCAGCTCGAGCTACGAAACCGTTTTCAGTGCCTAGAGGATTGCAATGCAGCGGACGATATAAATGGCAAGCTTGTGGAAACTGTCCATGCGGTCGGAGCTAAGTTTTGCAAGACCCGCCGCAGAAGAACACAAAAACTCTCCGATCACACTCTTAATCTCATGGCTGTTAGACGGGATATGAAGCTGCAGTCTTCAGTAGATTTGACAGCGTACAGGCAACTGAACAGACAGATCTCCAAATGCATGCGGCGGGACTTTCGCAACTTTAATACTGCTCGTATTGAAGAAGTGATCGAGCGGAACCAAGGCTCCAAAGTCTTTGCAAGAGATCTGTCTGCCAGAAAGAGCCAACTGTCGAAGCTGAAGACCGAGCGTGACAGCGTCACTTCCGGGACACCTGAGATTTTGAGTGAGATTGAGAGGTTCTATGGGTAGCTGTACACATCATCGTTTGAGCCACACGCATGTGTGAGTAACGATCCAAGGGGGAGTTTTATCCGACATCATTCCGATGATATCCCGGATGTCAGTCTGAGCGAGATTAGAATGGCTCTCCAGGACCTTAAAAACAGCAAGGCCCCAGGCGAGGATGGAATTACAGCAGAGCTTCTGAAAGCGGGTGGAAAACCGGTACTTGAAGTCCTTCAGAAGCTCTTTAATTCCGTCCTCCGTGGTGGCATTACACCAGAGGCGTGGAGCAGAAGTGCGGTGGTCTTGTTCTTCAAGAAAGGCGACAACGCTCTCTTGAAGAACTACACACCGATTTCCCTTCTGAGCCGCGTCTACGTGCTGTTTTCGAGAGTCATTACGAATCGTCTCGCGCGCAGACTTGACGACTTTCAGCCTCCCGAACAAGCCGGTTTCCGAAAAGGCTTTAGCACCATAGATAACATACATACCCTTCGGCAAATCGTACAGAAGTCCGAGGAGTACAATTTACTTACTTATATTTACTTATCTTCACGCACAATCCCTGACGGGGTAGCCAGAGAGAACAGATCGCCAAGTGTCACGATCCTTACATACCTCTTTCGCTTCTTTCAGATTCATTATCTTCTTCATGCATGCACGTCTAAGTATCCGAGTACTTTTGACCCTACCCTCTTCGAGTAATTTGCTCACATGGTCTTCGAAAGTTAGTCTCGGTCTACCTCGACACCTTTTAATATTAACTTTCGCGCTATATATTTTCTTCACCATTCGGTCTTCACTCATTCGCTCAACGTGCCCAAACCACCGAAGCACGCCCTTATCAATTTTTGTGATAAGGTCATCTTTCAAACCTGCCATATTGCGAATCTCTTCGTTTCGCTTTCGGTCGGCCATGGTAACGCCGCACATTTTACGAAGAGATCGCATCTCCACTGCATTCAACTTACTTTTATGCTTCTTCTGGCATACCCAGGTTTCGCTGCCATATAACAAAGTCGGTACCAACACTGCGTTATGTATTGCAAGGCGTGCACTCTTCGCTACGCCTTGCCTTTTGACTAACGCAGCCAGGGCACCATTGACTTTGTTCCCGGCAGCGACACGCCTGTCCACATCTAAATCACATCTTCCATCCCGGCTAGAAGCACTCCCCAAGTATACAATTTCATTTACCTGTTCTAGACATTCCTGATTTACCCATATTTCACACTTCG